TCCACCTTGCACTCCCCCTCCGATGTCCAGCCCCCACCTTCCTATGGCCAAGTTCCCCCCAGGGGCCCAGATGTTCACAAAGTGCAGGGGAAATGGGGGGGCTGCAAAGAGGAGGGTCGTATGGGGGCTCTTCCAGAGGTGAAGGTGGCAGAGAGGGGAGTGCATGGGCTTGTTGCAGGGGGTGGAGGTGGCCAAGAGGTGTGGGGGGGTGTAGTGGCAGGGAAGAGATTGCACAGAGGCAAAAGGGGCTCTTTGCAGGGGGTGCAGTGGCAGGGAGGGAGTGGCACAAGGGAGAAGTGGGCAGGAGGGGGTTGTTGCAAGGGGTGGGCAGGCGGGGGTGTGTTTGTGCCTGGGGTTGTTGCAGGGGGGTGAAGGTGGCACGGAGGGGTTTGCACAAGGGAGGAGTGGGCAGAAAGGAGATGGCAGGTGCAGGGGGGGGTTCCCGAGGTTGACGCAGGGGTGAAGGTGGCCGTGGCTGGCTGGGGGTGTGTGTCTGTTGCTGGGTGGAGGTTGCCCAGAGGCAAAAGTGGCAGGACCAGGTGGGTTGTTGGGGCATGGGGTGCACAGGAGAGAAGGTAGCTGGTTGGTGGGTGTTGGAGCGGGTGGCGCTGGCTGGGGGAGGGGTGCCCGGGTTGCTCCCACATACACCATTCCCCAGGCCAGGGACTGGACCTGCCCACCCCCTGGTGCTCCGCGGGGTCGTGCGGCTCCCTGCAACCCGCGTAGGTACCTTGCAGGCGGTGTAGACACCCAGCTTCTCCTCCCGAAGAGCAGAGCGCAGTTGCGCTTTCTTTCCTGCATGGCAGGCCGAGCCGGGCTCTCAGCCGCTCCCGGGGCTCTCAGCAGTGGCACAGGCAGCCAGCCTCCCCCACGCCCGAGCCTGCTGCTGCCGCTGAGAGCCCCGGGGGCGGCGGGGAGCCCAAATCGGCCCACGGCGCGGGGAAGAAGGCGCAGCTGCTAGCTCTAGACCCTCCTCTTCCCCGCTCCGCTGCCAGCTGCTCCCCCGGGGGGGAGGGACTGGCCGCGCCGCGGGCAGCCCCTCTGGAGCCAGCAGGTGGGGAGCAGTGGCAGCCTTGTGCTCCGCTGTTTAAAAAAATATGTTTGGGGCACTGCTTTTTGGCGCCCCCAACCACTTGGTGCCCTAGGCGGCCACCTAGTCCGCCTAGTGGTTGCACCGGCCCTGTGTTTACAGTATGATTGTATTGGTTTAACTCAACTGGGGTCTATCTGGAATACATGCAGGAAGGGGAAGAATGGTGCCAGATGATGCTCTCTCAGAAAACATGTAAGAGTTGTTAAGGGACAATGCCAGAACTGTTAGCTTTGATGATTCTGCCTCCATGTTCAGCCAATCTATAAAACTGGCTTTGGCCCGGAATGGCCAGAAAATGGGTAACACAAGAGAACAGAGAAGGTAGCAGGACTGAAAAAGGACTCTCAAGAAAGAGCAAGGGGAGTGGGCAGGGAAATGAGACTCAAGATATTCCTGCCAAGGTCACCATCATGGAATGGTAGGACCCTAGCTAAGAGAGATATGCATGTCAGCTGTTTGTTGTTTTACATATCTTCTCTAATTCTTTGTTCCTACCCCAAGAGGGTGCACTCAAAGATACCAGAAAGGGGGATGGAGGTGCAGCTAGCCCTGTAATAACCATGACAGTTACAATGGTTGTTTGAAATCAAGCTAGTATTTGGAGCAATAAACCTATTTGGATACCAGGAACAGATTGACCTGCAGGTGAGCCAGTTTAGATACAGAGCTTAGTGTGAAATTATTAGCAATCAGTAAACATACAGAAGTTAGTTTTGTTGCTCAATACATGACAGGAAGATGCTCACATACTACAGTGATGAGTGTGGTATAAAACCTGAATAGAATAGAATAGAATAGAATAGACGTTTAAGCCCTCATTCAGAAAAGCATCCATATTCAGTTTGGGTGCTTAAGCATGTGCTTAACATTAAGCCATGTCAATGGAACTTAAGCATATACTTAAAAGGTAAACATGAGCTTAAGTACTTTCTTGAACAAAGGCTTTAAGATACTTGATGCGGCTATGTCATATTTCCCTAGGGATAAACACCAGGAAGCAAGAGGAGTTATCTAAATTAAGGGACAATGTTGGCACAAAACCAAATGAATATAAACTGGCCTTCAAAAAGTTTAGGCTTGAAATTAGATCAAGGTTTCTAAACATCAGAGGAGTTAGGTTCTGGAACTGTAGGAGGGGGAGATTTTTGGTAGCCCAGCGCAGACCACTGCCTGCAGCTGGAATACCCATAGCTATACTTATTGCTGAAATCCACTAAAAGAAGGTCATTTTCTGAAATCTTAGCAAAACTAACAGACCAGGAGGGGAGAGAGAACTGAGTGATCACGAGGGTTAAACATGACCCTGTGCCTGCATGACTTGAGCTTTTTGCTGAAGCATGCAGTTGTGCAAGATGGAAAGTCTGGCAATAGTTAGTATTGCTCTGTGAAATACAGCTGGTTAACTGATGGTTAACCACTTTGTAGGCTGGAAAACTCCACACTTAACTTCTTCTCAGCAGTTTTTTAATTAAAAAGATATGTAATACGAAGAAATTGGGTATCAAAAGAGGAAGAAATCTGAGTTCAGGGGACACTTGGACACCTCTCGAGGTCCTCTGCAGATGGAAAACTGGCCACTGAAAGCCTACTCAAGACCTCCCCAAAAGCTTAGGTGAATATTAATCTGGGGTTAATTTGGGGTGCTCTATTAGCCTCTTGCAGACCTGTGTAAGTGCTGTATATTAAATAAAGTAGAAGCTTTGAGTAAAAGCACTTTTGTTTGCCTACTTGCATCAACTATCTATCAGCCGGATGGGCCATATCCCCATTTATTTATTTGATTACCACGACCTTGCAGAGTAAAGTAACCAAGAGCTTTAGGTTCAGCAAAACCCTTGGTAACAGAACAATCTTCCAAGACAAGTTAGCAAAAAAATCTAACTTGTTTTAAGACTGAGCTTGATAAGTTTATTAAGGAGAGGGTATAATGAGGTTGCCTACAGTGGCATATGACCCATCCATGACTGTTATTGCAAAATATCTCCAACAACCGGATATGGGACACTAGAGATTTATTACAGAGAATTCTTTCTCGGGTGTCTGGTGGACATATTTGGGGTCAGAAAGGAATTTCTCACCAGGTCAGATTGGCAAACACCCCAGTTTTTCCTTCTTCTGCAGCATGGGGCACAGGTCACTTGCTGCTTTGAATTAGAGTAAATAATAGATTCTGTAACCTGAAGTCTTTAAATCATGATTTGAGAACTTTGGTAACTTAGACAGAGATTATGGTTCTATTACAGGAGTGGGTGGGTGACGTTCTGTGGCCTGTGATGTGCCAGAGGTCAGACTAGATGATGATGTTGGTCCCTTCTGGCCTTCATGTCTATGAATCTATGAATCTTTTTGTGCACTAGGCAGGCGTGCATACAGCTCAACAAGTAAATTATCCCAACCCAAACAGGATCGCCTAAAGTCTCCTGCCAATTGTTTCTGTATTGTAAAAACATGATAATCTGCTAAATAAGACAAAGGACATGCTCAAGAGGGAACACTTTGTACAGGAACATTTGGAGAAGATCATGTCTGTAATACCATTAAATTTTGCATTCACTAAAGACTGGGAGGCATAATTCTTCAGAATAGGGACATTTATAGTTGTATTCATATGGGAGGGCTTAAACTCACCAGTTTATTTGCATAAATGAAATATGGGTTTAAAGCTTTTTGGTTAAACAAATACCAAATTGCATATCATATCAGGGAAATGAATTCAGTGTAGTTTAGACTGCAAGCCCTTACTTAGCTAGTAAAAGCAAGTGATTTACTTGCTCATATCAAGCTTTTAGAGGAAGGGCTATCTGCATTTTATGACTTGTACAGTATCAAACATATTGCAACATTTATCAAATGTTAACCAATAAACTTCGAGCTAGTAAATCAATTCTCTTTGTTTTAGTGAAGTGCCAAGTAAAAGTTCTACATTTGGCACAGGGTTATTCTTGTAAAACTCTACCCATGGAGAATGTGCAAGCAAAGGTATATCCTGCTGTGGAGGGAAAGGAGACTCTGGGGAAATTGTTATTGATAATCATCAAGTTTGAAATTCTAATATATATTTTTTTAGGAAAAATTTTGTACACACAACCAGAGTATTGTCTGAGTGCATGTTACACATGATAATGTATCAAGGAACAAGTATGATCTGCTGTTCATGTAAAGGAGATGCAATCCGCAGGAGTACTGGTAAAAAACAAGTATTTTCTAACTCCAGTCACCTAACCTAGATTGATGTAACCAACATAATTCATTTGCCACAGGTTTTGCTGTCCTAGCGCCCTCAAAAAAGGTTAAATGCATATAAGATATGCTACCACCTGAACATCATCGAATCACTGTAGGGTTTTAGGGAATTGCCTGCACCTTTGTGTGTCTCAGCTTCCTGGTCTGTAAAGTGAGGATAGCAAATAAACTTACCTACCTCACAGGGCTGCTGCAAGGCTTAATTGGGTAATGTGGCCTAACAGATAATGCCTTGGACAGGGACTCAGGAGACTGGATTCTATTACTGGCTCTGCCACCGGTCTGCTGGTGATTTTGGGCAAGTCACTTCATCGCGCTATGCATCAGTTTCCCCATCTGTAAACAGGATTGATGATGCTTTCCTCCATTGTAAAGTGCTTTGAGATCTATGGATGAACACCACTCAATAAGAGCTAGATGGTGTTATTACTGTTTTAATAAAGCACTTTGAAGATGCAAAGCGCTGAGTTTTTAAATTTATTTTGACCTGTCAAAGGGACCAAATACTCTAAATTGAATAGGAAAACACAAAAATCCAGTGTGTGGCAATTGCCACGTTCAGTTTGGCAGCATCCCCGGGGCAGTCGGTGCTGCATGCACCAAGCCGATAACTTCCCACGTACACTGAGAATGTATATTTCACATTGTGTTTCTATCTTTGCAGAGAAAGCAGAGAATGTAGTGCTGAGATGGGGAACCACACATCAGTGACAGACTTCCTTCTGCTGGGTCTTTCCAATGACCCAAAGATGCAGTTCCTCCTTTTCTGGCTGTGCTCCATTATCTACACCATTACTGTGGCAGGGAATAACACTGATGCTCATCTGAATGGATTCTTGACTCCACACCCCAGTGTATTTCTCCCTGAGTCACCTCCTATGTCGACATCTGCTACACATCCAGCACTGTATCTCAGATGCTAGTCAACTTCCTGAGCCCATCTCAGAAAACCCATCTCATTGACCAGCCCATATGTATCTGTAGCTTCTGGCAGTGATGGCATATGATCGGTATGTTGTAATATGCCACCCACAGTATTACACCCTACTCATGAATAGGGGTGTGGGCATTAAATTAGCAGTGGCTTCCTGGATTTGTGGCCTTAGGTTGCTGGTGATCCACAGCTGGTTTTTCTCAGAACTCAGCTTCCCCTCAGGGAGGTTCTGATAAACCATGGGCAGGGCTGGATTAAAGCAAAGGCACATGGTTCTCAGTCATGTGAGGTCAAAATTTAAGCATTCCTCTATTTATTTATTTAACACACACAAAATGGTGTCTTGTCTTCTGGGTTGCAAAGAAAGTCTTGAAAATATGAATTGAGTGAAACTGATGCAGTGATGCCTACACCCCCAAAAGTAAATCAGCAGGCACCATGCCACCACCTGAACAAAACAAACCAGGCCCCACTGCTCTGGGCAGCCCCTCAGATGATGGGACAGGGGCTTAGATACCCTGCTGAATGTAGAGGGAGATTGGCAGCTCCTTCTTTAAAGGATAGCTAAAGTAAAGCTTAGATAGCTTGTTAATACTTTTTTGTAATCTGGAAGGAGGTAGGTAGAGAGTTCATACTTCTTTTAAAGTGCAGGGACTGCTGAGTCCATTGTTTTAGAGTAGAACTGTGTTTTACTCTACACAGTAATAAAGAGTTTTCCATTTAGCTGATAATGAACTCGGACCCT